TACAAGTGTATATTGTATAATTAAATGGTTATAGATGTATATTTTCTAATTAGATGGTTATAGCTGTATATTTTCTAATTAGATGGTTACAGGTGTATATTGTCTAATATTTCTCTTCACGTTAATGTATTGTTCAAAAGAAAAGAAAATGTAAAAGAAAATTAGCCGAAAATCCTAGCAGTATCATGTAGTAACGAATTTTGGGAATTGCAATGAAATCGATCATCATTATAACCATCATAAAGTCATTTTTTATTAGACCATACTTCTATATACTTTTCTCAGTTTCAGAATAACCATTTGGCAAATTAATTGGCATGAATAAATTCTAACGATTTTAAACCGAATGTACGCCCATACGACACCAATTTGATTTACACTATGCCCTGCCCAACTACCAAACCATACAACTTCTTAATCGCTGACATTTAAATGTAGTTCCAGGGCTGTGTCAAAATGTTTTAAAACGTAATAACAGTTTATTGTATATCAAAGCAAAAAAGTAGTTCTTGTATTTGTACTTTTTTGTATTTCACGTGAATGGTGTTTGCCGTTGCAGGGGCGGTTGGTGATATTTGTCAGAGAACGTACTCTCTGATACAACCTCGGTGGATGTTCCTAGTTGGCATAGTTAAAGGGCCGTGGTCGTCACGCCACGCATGCTCAACATTTGTGTTGATAAACATTGATCTTCCCATAATTCAATGCGCTCTGCTAATGAAAATCGTACGAGTTTCGAACTGGGCACAAAATGCACTAATTACCGCCGGTGACTCTTTCGATACCTTCCAATTAGCATGGAAATTTTATAGTTAAAGCTTAGTAACGCCTCAGTCTGCACAACAGTCAAAGTCTCATATCTTGCGCATGCGTTGTGCGACGACCACCGCCCTTTACCCTGCAAGCGAGTTATGGTTATCGAAAAGTCATGAACATGTATAGCGCCACCAACGATAACTATGGCATCATGACTCAAACTCTTCTTTTTGCCAATAATATCATGGCACCCTGCCATGTATATGCAGAGACACTGAATGTTGTGGTTACAATTACAGGTATATATATTGGATCGAGAGACCACTGTTGTGTCATGTCGCCAGGGCGTTTCATTATTTACACCGATCCCACTCATGGTGGCGCTGTTTCGACTAGTGCTGCCGTTACCACTCTTCGACATCGCAAGCTATGTGCCATTCTGAAGTATGTTGGGATTTGAAAGAATTAAACTTTCGTTGGTGTTCTCTGTTGGCGGTCCGAATATCAGTATTGGTGACCAGTAATAAAACTATAACTTGTTATGTTTTGATCTGTTCAGTTTAATAGAATTTCCTGGGATATGATTACCTCATGAAATGTTTTATTTATGAATATTGTTATGCAAATTATTGCGCGAAACAGTATAATTACAAATATATCATCGCTTTCACAAATCACAGATCTTTCAAGTTGTATTCCAAGGTGAAATGTGAAACATACGCTTTTTTTAATACGGCCATCTTTTTGCATTTTTCAAACTAGCTTGATAAGGTCGCGTAAGTTGCGCCCTCCGCGGTGCTCCAAACCAAACACGTTAATTAGTAGAGTTTGATGCCGTTCGGTCGGCGACGGCGCCACTCACGCCTACATGCCAGGCTACTTTCAAACAAGCGCACGCAACCACACTCGAGTATGGCGCCCTCACACATCGCAGTTGAAATTCAACCTGTGTTCGAAGTTTGTATGTTTCCATATTATATCGCAATAAAAAAAATGTTGGCATTAAACGTCACCGTCACCTAGTAAAATGTTGAGATAAAGAGTTGAGATAAAGAGTCCTTGGCATATACAATAAATCTGAAATGCTCCAAGACCGACAAAATACGTTCTATGCACTACGTTTTGTTCATATTGTTTTTATTTAACAGGATTACATCATTTGTACTTTTGAATAGCGTTTGCATGGTGATATAAAAAATAAAATAAATTGTCTGGATTTGTGAAGCTTATATGGTATATATATTTGATCTAACAACATTATATTTAAAATGCATGATAATCAATTTTGAATATATAATATATAAAAATTATCTGATTTCGTTTTTACTCTTCGGTCGAATTTCGTGCAAATAAACAACGTATTTTATATACATCGCTATGGACTCCAAATCGAACACGACGCGACGCGACGACCACCGCCCTAATTACTTCCCTTCATTCAGTACCGTGTATTACAATCATAGTACAGTCGAAAACAAATATATACATATCTGAATTTCATTAACATAAAGAAAAGTTAGAGAGTAATATGCTGTGTAACTATATTTGTTGTGATTAAAAACGTCACACATCCAATAGCATGGGTCCAGGTTGATACCCGGATAACAGTTAATGATGATCCGCAGCGGTTATTGTATGACACTCGTTGTGATGTCATTTCATCTGAGAAATTCAGTGTAAGGTACGGAATGTATAATACAATAAGTTTTCATTGCGTTGTTATGGCTCTAAGCCGCTGTACTAATTGACTCATACCATGATAATAAACTGAGCGCAACTAACTAATATTAACATCACGGAACATTAAAAAGCACTACAATTTCTTGATATTATGGAAAGGGTCCTTCAAATGAAGGAACTAATATAAAAAGGGGTACCTGAACGTGTTTCCATGACAACGATGATCATGATTTCCATGTTTTAACGTAGTTAAAACAATAAATTACAGGTACCCTAAGTTTTTTTCTTAAGAGTTTCAAATAGCCAATTATAAGGAATAGCCATATTTCAGGGAAATTCCTTTTTTCAGAAGTGCGTTAGCCATGTCCTTCCTTCAAGTTAATGCGAGCGAGCTGGAACTACTTTAACCGGACAGCGCATTTATTTACTGAATAGTTCTTCCTGCATCAGATACATTTTACAGTCTTCGTAACCCCGGACGTAGTACTCTTTCAAATTATCCCAAGGGGCGGGATGGTACGCATCTTGTGCGTACAGATAGTTCCATTTCGTCAAGTCGATCGGCTGGCCGTGAGTGTCTCCAATCTTAGGGTCTTCCCCTTTATTCTTGGAAGGAGAAATGGACACTTCGTCCGAATGAAGTGATGACACAGTGATGGTCTTGCCAGAAGCAAAGTTGGAGGTCTCCACGTGTATGATCTCGGGCGACACGTCTATGCTACAGTCCGGTAGGTGAATACGAAGTCCTGGATCCATTAATTTCTGTCAGGAAAAGAATAAACAAAACATAAAAACCCAACGAAAAAATATTGAGATCAACTAGAATTTGACGCTGATGGCGCTGTATAGAAATACAAGCTCATGATTACGCAATGAAGCAAAAAAAGCCTCTCACCTTTCCTCTGTATACTGGATGCTTTACGCCACCATGGATCGGAATATGGACGCTGCCAATTAATACCTATAAACGCGAAAACAAATCAGAGGGTAATAAATCCAGTCCAATTCGTCACGACTTGGCAATAATACATCAGTTGGAACAGTGCCAATCACAGATAAAAGTCAAACCAATTCGCGTGATGTAATACGCATGCGCATTTAACGTTATAATATGGAAATCATTGACGGATATATCAACACATCCGGGTTTAACGAAGAGTGAATATATTGCGTAACAAACATTCTGAACAGAACATTGGCATGAATACTCATTCTTCCGGAAATAGCTTAATTATTGCGATGTTATTATCCTATTTTTAAATTGATGACATTAACCCCTATGAATAAAGTTTATTTTTACAATTTCCGCGTTGAGATCTCATCCTGCAATGCAAATTATGTACCAAGTCATTTGAGAAATAATTCGTATTTTTTTTATCCCAAGAGTTTTGGATTACTGAACGTTTTAATATGATTCATGCTGAAAATGAAGTATGTGTACTCTAATGTGAAGTACATGCAATATTGTGACATACAATGAATTGATGCTGTTGACTTACCTCAACGAGTTCGTCATTTGATCCGAAATCTGAAATGACTTCCTCTGAAAACTCGTGGATATCGACGAACGTTTTCCATGCTTTCTTGCCCATCTTCCGCCACTCGGCCGGGTCGTTGACGTCAAACAAGGGATCCCTTTTCCGTTCGAAAGTTATCACTTTTATGTGCAATTTTTTGTCTCCAATTTTGGTGTAAGCATCTTTGGGTAGTTGTATTTTTAAAAGTCTTTTAATTCTACTGGTGAAGTCGTACGCCGGAGTCATGCCTTTGCTTTTGTAGATATCATCCACCAGTTTACGTGTTCCAGCTAAAAATGGCTGCAAAAATATACAATTTAACATAATTAATGAACTTGTTTGAGAAACATGGTGTGATTATTATACATTCAGCTAACACACCGTAGTGACGTGGATAAGTAATGTCTTCTGCATCTCCTAGGTAACACACAATATCATTATGTTTTTCACATGTGTATGTAACACTATAGCTGCCATTCCAGAAACCGCTACTAACTGTCCTCTACCAAATTTATCGTTACCGCCCTCTAAATTCAAGCTGGATAGTATCGGTGGTAACGCATGCTTAGTTTTATTCATGCGCCGCTAATGATTTATTGTATATCGTTACCTGTATTTTATTGGGCGCCGTCAACAACAAAGCGCTGACGATGGCACCAGCAGACGCCCCGGCGAAGTTTCCCGTCTTTTCAAGCGCTTTCTGTCCATGTCGGTGAAAAGCCATCGCTACGCCGATCTGATATACTCCCAATGATCCGGTCCCGCCGAAAGATAAATTGATGTTATCGCTGCCTGAGTTCGCCATCTTCGAGTGTCGATGTGTGGAAGTTCCAGTGATGTTCTGCGTTATGTCAGTTGTTCCCACTATTATATAAGTGAAAGACAAGACATGGGAAGTGTCCCTCTGTGAATTGGCATGCGTAAAAGAATGTCACAGTTCCGTTAACGATACTTCCTGTTCTTATCAAATTTGGTGAAATTCAACAAAATAGTTTCCCTACTATGCTAAGGGCGTGGGATGGTTGACTAAATCGTATCCACCCTTTCTAAAAATAGCAGTGTGCAGGTCAAAGGTTATAACATAGACATCAAACAAATCAATATTTTGGTGTAAATTTGTAAAAATGTTAAATATTTAAAAATCAAATATACTTTGACGCAAAAAATGGACGCTGAAATCAACGGCGTCCGGGTGAAAGGCGTTATTTATAAAAGCTTATACTAGTAATTTGCTAGGATGGTTTGCCTTGGATGACCTCCCACGTTCTTGAGTGAAAACTGTTTATTCCGTCTCTATATACATATAAATTGAATTACTCATATATTCTAGAAAAGTATACATCTATCATGTTCACATGATTAAACAAACTGTCTTATTTCCATGTCAACGTACGTGGAGTCATCCAATAATGAGTGAAATGGCGATGACGGCGTCCCATCGCTGATGACAACGAAAATATGGCCGTTTCACCTCTGACTCATTCCACGATTCTCGTTCGCAGACCCAATGAATTGATTCAATTGTGACTTCAAAACACCCTACACTCGACTGATTCATGATGGTTATCACTCCAGGGCCATATATTGTGTAAATGTTAAAAGTTGCGAATAATTCCTCCCCCTGATTTTAAAGGGTAACGATTGTGCTATGTTTGTGAAGAAAACAAAATACCATTATTGAGATTTGCTTTGAATTATACGTCATCACCACTATCGAACTAGCAGAATTGGAGCCTCGTATTTATTTTTTTTTGTAAGATTCGATAAGGTGCTTTAAAATACTAGTATATGTTATACATTAGATCGTCTGCTCTCGGTCAGTGCATGCCGCGTGTACCAGAACGCCTTGGCGTACTGTATTAATGATTTTCAAGCCTCAATATAAAAGCAAAACTGATATGAGTATAATTTTATTTACAGTGTATTCCAAATTTATACCACGTGTATATTAATAAAACTATCAAAGCGAATTCTCGTCGAATAAGTTGGAAATGAGTCGCCCGTTACTCTGGATATGTGTGGGCGGTGAAAATATGGTAACGCGTTGGAATGTCCCAAAAAAAGTTCCCGTCAAGAATTTGTTCGGTCCCAACACAAATGTAATGTCTCAATAGCATGACATTATCTAGATCAACTGCGTTTTGTGTTGTGGTCACCATACCAGAGCACAACATATAAAAAAAAACGGGACAACTTACCTGTAAGACGAACAAGTCTATACTATCTGCGTCGGCTCGCGAGGCTGGTATATCATTAAATAGTCATAGTACACGATTTGCATATCTGTGTTCGGTTTTGTTGAACCTAACCACAAAAGCGGCATTCATATATTTTTTTTGTCGAACAACCCGAGTAAAAGAATCGTCCTTTCAAAATAGTTGTTTGTCAGCCTTTTAGCTTATTATTCTGGATGTAAATGCCCGCTGCAGCTTATCATACCTGGCCTTCATCACGCTAAAGTTATCGTGTTGGTTTACGTGAAATGAGAGACTGGAAACTCGGACGAGTCCCAGTTTACAGAGGTCACTCGGGGTCATTTAGCGAATTAAACCCTTCCACAATAGTCTCATTTTTTTTATGGTGAATTAGACTGTTACATTGAAACTGATTAGTCCTAATTAGTGTCACATTTTTTTTTATTTTCTACGAATATTAAACTTACCAGTGTTTTATCATACAATCCGGCAGCCTTTTGTTCGATCGAACAATGGTTTTCTGATCACTACTTTTTTTATTGACCACGGAGCGATTATCATCTCATGAAACGAGGTGAAATGTTATTTTTTTCAAGGTAAGTGATAGGTCAGAATTCGGAGAACAAAACCAAAAAATTTTCTACCCCAAAAAGTGCACGCAATGAGTGCCTTGGGGTCATCACGCATGTTCCGGGCTCGGAGACATGCGGCTTTAAAAAAAAACAAAAAGTTGCAGCAATAAAACATAATAGGATTTCGTCTTAAATCGTTCCACTATGATATGCATTCGTTCAATTCAAGTTTTAACATTTTAAAAAAGTTGTTATCCTTGTGTGTAAATTTATTGGTTGTCTGAGGTACTACGTCACACTCCGCCTTAGCGTGTACATTTCAGAATGCTCATAAATACTGGAAGGTAAAGCACCTAAGTCTGGGCTTCTGATGACAAATACCAGTGATATATTATATCCATACTCAGATGTGTAATCCCAGGAAAGGATATTCAAGTCTTTAATTGACATCCGGGTCTTTGACACTTTAGTCAATTGATAAACGACTATCGAACTCAGAATGGAGTAGAATGAGTTGAACTTAGTTGATGTCTGTATATGTGAACTGTCCGTCCACAGGCAAGTTCTTTGCAAGTTATCCCCTAAATCACTGGCTCACTACATTTTCGGGATATCATAAACATAATAATAACAACAATTTGCTGGAGGAGAAAATGAAGATTACTGACAGTATCAGAACCAGCAAAGAAATGTCAAATATATAATCATGTAACTAAAGGCATTTTATTACCATGGAATTCGTATTTATATTCATTCGTTGTTTTAAATTGTGAGTGTCCATCGGCAATTACATGGACAAGTCACTCAGTGCTACCACACCATCTTCACCCGGTATATTCACTATTTTCGCACTCAAAGTGTACAATGGTTATCGTTTAGACAGAGCGGTCTGTGTCATGGGCTATACGAACCTTTGTTTGTTTGGGGAACCGTTCGTATGAGTCCCACGCCCTCTAACGACGTAGCGGTTTTGTAACGTAATTGAGTGTAAAGAACGCTTGTCAGCTCCGTTAATGTTTTGACTTGCGGTGTCCGTCAATAAAAACAAATACCGTTTTTAGGGATTTTCTATTTTCTAAATGTTGAGCACAATACAAGTAGAGTTGTATATTTGTACCTATTGCTAAAATTCGTCCACGTCTTGTTGACGTCATTGATGCGCTATATCGATTGGGCGCGACTAATTGGAAGATATTGAGTGGGATTAGCATATTCTTAGGGACATTTCTTGCTAACTTCACATAGGGAAGGAGTGGTTCGGAAGATTGAAGGTTCAGTTGCCTAAAGTTGCATGATCATCAACTTAAGTCATTTTGAAATTTGAATTACGTGTACTAATATTGCCAGTAGTCTTTGAAAGGGTGCCGGCGTTCATTGCACGATAAAAAAAACAATTCGGTTCACGCAAAGAACGCCAGGAGCCAGCGAACAAATAGAACTGAACATGGCCGCCATAATGTGCAATTCAATTGATATCCCCCCTCAAGCTCGGGATATTTCCTTAAATGTGCCAACTGTTGCGGGGATGCAATCGACAATGTTGTTCGGCATAAGTTGGGGCAGTATCCCTGCATAGTTAAATGACAGGTGCATACAAATTTGCTTACTTTCCCGGATAGATACTCAGTTCAATTTGTTCTGATTTACATCAAGGGTTTATAAATCAATGACTATATACATTTTTGTCAAGATATCTACACATTTCGTTTTTTCTGAGAGTGTGATATTAACGGCAATACTGATAAACAAACAACTACATTGTAATTGCCTACACGGTGGTTGTGGGAAAAAAAACGAACGGGTAACAGCAGGACAATTTACACCGCACGGGGTCGCTCGTCACAACTGGGCCGCGAACCAAGATGTCATAAACTACAGTCACGCGTTTGCGATGTTGTGGAGTCCCGGTTATAGCGAGCATCGAGAGAGGGGTCCATACTACTGTAAATTTCAGATATAACACCAGCCCAGGGCAAATTATCTGTGTGTATTGGAGGGAAAGGGAAAATATACAGAGGAAATCAGGCTAATTGAATGAATAATTTTCAAGCAATATTACAGAACAATAAAGTAAATATATTCCGTGAAAACAGTGATAAAAACACAGCGTGATAGAGGGATGCGAACATACAAAACAGCTGTTATTGACGACTCAAATTGACTGACTCATTGCTAACACTCAACTTATTGTCGACACAGGGAGTGCCTTCAGGTGACGTCACATCCACTTTCCAAAAAAATTAAATACATTTTAAAACCATATTCAATTACAGTTCGAATTGATGTGTTTTATATAATAGTATTTATAATATAAAATTATATATTTACTCTAGACTGATTATTTGAATAAAGCGTTGAATTGCATTCATGCAAATGTGTGTATCTGTACAAATGCTTGAGAACGAGGTGAAAATATCAGTGACGTGTGCAAGGGTGAAGCACCACGAAGTGACATCATCATCAACATTCCTGAGATTCCCTTGGACCTCTTTGCATGTTTTGAATAAAATAGGTCCATACATTGCCAGTGCTTTGTGCAAACTGTCCGAACAATACACTGTTCATGAGTAGGAAGCGAATAGGACAAAATAGATCAGACTGTTCAGACTGAATGAGTATTTTGTGACGTGCTTGTCGAAAAAGGTGGGCGTCGGCTCGGAGTGATTTCCTTTTTATGTATTCAGTGGTGAGTCATAAACAAGTCTAAACTGTGCAAGCGTATCACCATTTTTGGATAAACGCAACAAGTTGTGTAGGTTCCACTGCCAGCCAAAACACACTCAACGCATCGAAGAAAACACATTGCTGCATTGACACCGAAGACTGTACAGATACTACGAACCAGGTGCTAAGGTAGGCAACGAACGCGTCGAGGGCCATGGTTTCGGGAAAACTCATAACTGGGGCTCGATCGACCGATGTTAGATATCGGGGAATCAGCTGGACAGCCCCTCTGATTAGTGTCACCATGTCTGTCTTGAATCACATGTACGCACACAATTGTTTGATTGCGTCTTCCGACGATCCGTATGTCCCAGTTTCAGTTCCCGTATCTGAGAGATCAATACCATAATGATTTCATTTACGGTGCCAGCTGACGGTGCTAGATATGTACATGTGCGTTTCGGTGATCAAAGTCCAGATCGCAATTTCTTACTAAACTCTGAGTATAAAGTCAATGACAAAAAGGTCACTTAACAGCCAGGTGTCATTATTACTCCTGCCACGCAATTCCAAGGTCTGACATTCGAGCCACACACATCGAGCTCAGCTGTCATCGATACTGACAAATCATGTTTCTAAGTGATACAATATTGTCGTGGTAACTTTATTTCATCGAATCCCGTCACCAAAAAATGAAAACAAACGAACTATTGTCTTTGAACTAGAGTAGTTACCAAATTACTAGTAGTATACTTCTTGCCTTGTATTTGCGGCTAGGGTTCAGTAACAGTATGTTTTGTTTTTTTTTTGCTGTAAAGCATAGTAACTGTGGTATGGCAATCAGTGTCATCATGGGTCACCATTTCCGTCCATGGTGTCACGAACTTTGACTGCCTGTTTGATGTAACAGCAATTACTAAAATTCCTTGAAACCAAAATAACGCTCCTATTTTCACCATACAACTTTTCAAGGACTTGCAACTAATCCAGGACAACAGAAGGTGGTTTGTTCTATATACTGACAAAATACATAGAACATTCATTTGGTGAAATAATGAACTTGAACAAATAATTCCATTGTTTGAATTTCTAGTACATACCTTTTATTAAAAATCCATTTGTGAGAAAATTAATAGTATGAATATTTATTTTCTTCTTTAAAATTGATCGAATAGTAATAAAATGCAATTGTTTTTAATTCCAAATGTTGATCAGTAAAGGATTTGCAACTTCTAATATAAATGACATCCAATAGATTTATGTTTTCTGGTTGCTTTAATAGCTGTCATTTGTGCAAAATGGGTGAGGAACAACACTGTCACATTTCTGATCTTTGGGAATACGCAGTCTTTAGGCAGATATATTACTATACCTGCTTCAGTTTTGTACAAAATATGTTGATTTTGCATTCATTCAGGTTACCTAAGGGTTTACAAAATATTTGTAAAATATGGAAAATCTGCTTTTTTCATTTGTACACACACATCCACAATGAAGCAGGACAAACAAGCATGTTCTCTTTAACTCAGCAACTGTGTAAATCTAGACTTGTCTGGTATGCAAAACACCTTTCAAATGTTTACAAACTTTTGGCAAAAACTTATACAACACATTGAATATGATAATAAAACTACAATTATTGAAGACCAATAGAACATAAAGAGAATGTGTAACACTTCAAATAAAATAAATTCAGTTTTAAAAAAAAAAAATAATAATATTAATTAATATTTCACTATTGGTTCTTATAATTGTTCTACTGTATTTGCTCTATTCCAAAAATAGAAGTGCACAAAGACCAAAGAACAAATTTGTTATATAGTGAATCATTAAAAAAATTACTTATTTTGACCATAAAACTCCTTTATTATTTATGTAAATGTTGGGCTACTAATAGAGCAAATACGGTGGTTCAAATGACTGCTACTGCCATTAGTAAAAACACTTAGGTGAGATAGAGTACATATACTGCCAACAAAATTTGAGTAGGGTCTCATTCATATCAGTAAAAGTAAACATTGCAATTTGTCCTTTCATTCATTCATTTTTATTGCATGTGTAAATTATCCAAGAATGCAAACTGTAAAATACTTAAAAAACTGAATAGAAATATTTCACATCCCACCTAGAATATGTAATGTACAATAAATGCAATGGAATATGGGTACCAGGTAAGGACATTACTGGGTACCAGGTAAATACATTACTGGGTACCAGGTGAGGACATTACTGGGTACCAGGTGAGGACATTACTGGGTACCAGGTAAGGACATTACTGGGTACCAGGTGAGGACATTACTGGGTACCAGGTGAGGACATTACTGGGTACCAGGTGAGGACATTACTGGGTACCAGGTAAGGACATTACTGGGTACCAGGTAAGGACATTACTGGGTACCAGGTAAATACATTACTGGGTACCAGGTAAGGACATTACTGGGTACCAGGTAAATAAATTACTGGGTACCAGGTAAGGACATTACTGGGTACCAGGTAAGGACATTACTGGGTACCAGGTAAGGACATTACTAGGAACCAGGCTTGGAAACTCTTGATACTGGCCTAAACATTACTGATTACCAGTCATGGAAATTACTACAATGTAGGTACCAGGCAAGAACATTATCGGGTACCAAGCAAGGATGTTACAATAAACCAGTCATGGACATTATCGGATACCAGGCAAGGATGTTACTGAGTACCAGACAAACACATTACTGGGTACCAGGCATGAACGTTATTTGGATAAACTTATAACATCTAGTTATATTCTCAGTGACATCTTTATTTGTCTAATAATATCCCGGATCTGCTGTATTAATTATCACCTTATAAGGAGTATCAGTTTTCCCTGTTTCCTGCACAGCCGTTTTCCTTTAGGGGGTTATGCTACTTGTCTTGAAACTTTCCCTTTGGTATGATAGTTAATTAGTAGCCATTAAAATTATAAACAACAATTAGTCAAAAGTAATTAGCAATTGATTTGTCAATGAAAGTGATATTTACTTTTAACTATAAAGTTAATCTTGTAGGTATTTAATAGTTTCACATTACAGCAATGTTTAACGCTTTGGTTGTAATGTGCTATATCAGTAATTACCAGTACTGGTCTGTAGAATGGATCATGACTTCTCTACTTGGCCCGCATTAATGTATGCATATATTAATGCCCATCAATAGTTCTGTATATACTGTAAAATACTTTATTTTATTCGGATTTAATTTTCACTGAAATGGCTTTCTAGGTCTTTTGTATGGAATTTATTTTCAGTGATTGTTTATGAGTTGAATGTAAAATACAAGAAAAAAAGGTATATTTGATAGATTTTATTTTCACTGAACCATCCTTTTCATAGCTAAAAAGTATTTACAGTAGATGTAAGATGCCATTGTTGGATTTTGAAGAAAATGATGTCTGCATTAATAATGTCATATTGGATGATATAATCTTTCAATCTGTGACTCATTATTTGTACGAGTAATACAAATACTGATACGTATGAATTACAAATTTCTACATACTTCCTTATTATTTCCTCATTCTTTTGTCACTGATGTGATCTAATTGTATGCTCATATTTATTAATAATCTACTAGTAAGTTACTTTGGGGCTTGTGTTTAAAGGGGAACCTTCCAAGCCCAGGGATTGCACCAAAGAATTATGGGACACTATTGTTTATGTTGTTTACAAAGTTAATCTATCTTTTGTTATCCAATTTTAATCCAGAAAGTAAATTTGTTGTGAGATTAGGCTTAACTGGAAGTGCCCCTTTAATGAATATGTGGGTGATAACAGCACAGATGGCTTTCTGGGTTAAAATAATCAGTCATGTGTTGTCTGGCATAGATACTACTCTTAGCGTTAACTAGTCATTCCCTTCATCTTTATAAATATTTAAAAATTCTCAGGGCAATTAATTCCAACAAGCCAATCAACACACATAGTGCACACCAGATGTTCCAGTGTTATTCAGTCGGCCAATAGAAATCTCTCATTTCAGTTTGAATTGTGAAATTTATAAAAGATGAAGCAATGTACTATGAGTACATAATACCGCTATAATCTGATTAGGGTTAGATTATTTAAAACAAAATCTATTCTCTCTGCTGCCATTTGTCTGAAATGATACCAAAAAAAGTTAGGACAATTTGAATAAATACCAGAGAACATCTGAATCACTGATGAATCACAGTCCAACGTGTAATCCCAGATTATGTAATTGCTTGTTGAGTGCCAAAGTTGTCAAATTTCCATTCTCTAAAAAGACACCAAAGGCATTAAATTTAAAGGACACTAGCCATCGCGCCACACATGTACGAGATATATGGGTCTCATATAAACAAAGATGGCGATTTTGAGAAGTTGTGAAGATCAACGAGCACCAACTGAGATGTTACCAAACTTTAATTAGGTGTTTTTAGGTGATTGAAAGTTATCAAAAAAATCACCGACAATAATTAGTGTAAGTCGCGCCCAGGTCAAACCTCATACGTGTGATTTCCATTAGAAGTACGCATTGGATTGTGGGAAAATCAATGTTTATCAACACAAATGTCACATTTGCGCAGCGTGACGACTACCACCCTTTAAACAAGTGTGTATATGATAACTAAAACATAGACATCAGCAGATTAATTGCTTAAAGGTGAGGGATAAGAAACAGCATGTGTGGTGTACATGTTCCTTTGCAAAATCAAAACACGTAAATGGATTATTTTGGTAGAAAAAAAAAAGAGTCAACTTGACTTGCCTTTTGAGTCTACACTTAAAGCTGTTATTTTTATCTCTATTTTGTTTGAAACCCTTGGCATGTAAAGTATTTTGCATAATTTAATAGTTGCAACGGTTACCGTATTTGTAAAATACCTGGGTTAAAATGCTCTTGCCTGTAATCAGAAATCAAAATTTGATGTTATCGAATAAGCATTTTCCATCGGTTAAAATGGCTTTTCAGGTTCTTAATTTGTTCCTCTACAATACTACTTTACATCTATTAGGTTATACTATTAAATTGTGGGTGTTTTAAATCGGTGACAAATCTAAGTTGATGTGTTTGTATGTGTACTGTTAAACATCAGGCAACAATGTTTGATTTAGGGTGTATTTCTGGAGACTAATTCCATGGATTATATTTAAAGTATTTGTATGCAGTAACTGATTTATCTGGCATTCACATGTGTGCACACT